CCAGCATCTACCAGACTTTCTAGAAAGTGAGGACCAAACAAGACATGATTGAAGAAAGAATTAACGATAAAAGAAAATCTCCACACTGAATCTACAGGGATAAAAAAGAAATTTGGTCCTGTGAACAGTATCTTAAAAGTTACAAAATAACAGGAACAAAAGACATAAATCTAAGCTGGTTCTAGTAGAGAATTGTGGGCATGTTGGGTAATGGTAGTAGCCACTAGAACAATGTAGACAAAAGGACTGAAATAAATTTCTTCTGGGTAGGAAGATTGGTGATAATGGATAAGAATGAAATGGTAGTATTCTTTTTCATCAAAGTGCTTTTTGTGAAGGATTTGAAGGGCCAGCAAGATAGCTCAGTGGATTACGCCCTGGAGCAAGCTCAGGGACCTGCTGGTTCCACCTCCAGGCTTTCTGAGCCATTGATGGAATATAGGTGTGGTGGTGCACACCTGTAATCCCAGCACTTGGGGAAACTGAAAACAGGAGGGTCACTACAAGTCTGAGCCGCTTAGTGAGACCCTGTACAAAACACATGAATAAAAACAAAATATGTGATTTTCTTTTTTCATCATTAATTGGATAGGCTAAGAATTGTTCCACAGTAAACTTCCTGAATTTCTTGTTTTAAAAAGAGAGAAATGAAAGTCAGGCATGGTAATGCCGCCTGTAATCCCGGCACTCAGGGAGGCTGAAGCAGGAGGATCATTGTGAGTTGGAGACCATCCAGCCTAAACTGCATAGATAGACCCTGTCTCAAAAAAAGCAAAAATAAGAGAGAGATGGAAAAGTAATTTGTCCCCTATGTTACAATTTAAAAGCATTACCAGTCTTTTTACCTTTAAATTTTCTTTTTCTAGAATGGTAAGAGAGGAGAGAGAAATAATAAGACCTTTTGTTTGCACTTTGTATTTTTCTGATAAATCCACTACACACATTTCATTATCTTTTTTTTTCACAGCTGATTAATAGGACAGTTTTGATAATCAATACACTGTACATTGTTATCTTCTTAGTGGTTATCCATAGTACAAGAAGCAGACAGGATATTCTGTCCAAACACTGTTAGTACACTTCTTTCTTCTCGTTGAATTAAGCGAAAGTAGCTGTAAATTTATCCTCTTTTTTATATATAAATACAAAATGATCTTTCTTTTGTATCCTTTTTTTTTTTTTTTTCATCATCACTCTTGAAAAAAATATGATGTGGCTTCTCCAAGAAGACCAATTCTTTCCTGTTGCTTCTTTCTTGATTCCATATACTAGATTTTTTGCTTCCTTAAGCCTTCCTGTCAGCATCTTTGCAACTCTCAGAAAACCTCAAACCTCTGTTCTTTATTAGCTTTCTTAGAGTAGCTACATCTGTCCTGCTACATAGTTCTTCCCTGAGGATTTAAAAGGCTTTGGGCCTGTTTGTGCTCTATAGGTTGTGGATATGTGGCGAGTGGAGTCTAGATCATAAGGACATAGAGGATAACAACATATAGGGACTAGTACTGCAGTGCTGTCCCCTGTGCTTGGGTATATCAGAGAAAGACACAGGAAAATAAATGTCTGCCCTTCTTTTCTATTCCTTTCTGTTTATATGGAATTTTACACAGATTATTAAATATATACACAGGCTTGCATGTTTTGATCATAGCAAAGAGGGTAGCTGAGGATAGCAATTAAGGGGTTAGAAGCTCTGGCTGCTGGATAGATTCTGTGGCTTTGTCATTAAGATGTGCTAGGCTCTTAAACTAGGTATGTTTCCTTTAGAAAAAAGGGAGACCAGGATAGCACTACCTAGCAGGTAGTTAGTTGACATTCCTACTCTTTTGCCTAATTGAAAGATAAGAAACTTTTTTTAATTTCCTTTCGGAACTGGGGATTGAACTCACATCCTTGCATTTGCCAGTCAAGTGCTTATCCTACTGAGCCATCTTCGGGCCCTAAGAAACATTTTTTGAAATCATTTTTAGATAAGATGGGCTTCTGGCTATAAGAATGGAAATTTGCCTTTTAGTACTAGTGGATGCAGTTAATTTGCTACGCAGTTCCCATTTCCATTTGTTTTTGTTAAATTTTTTTTTTTTTGCTGAACCAGGTTTAAATTTTTATTTTTTCTCATAATTTTATTGATAAATAGCAATGAGACAGTTTCAAATCAAATTGGTAGGACAGTTTCAATAATAACACATTGCATACATTCTTCCTAGTGGTTAATTGCTGTACAACCGGGTTTAAATTTTTAAAAAATGTTTTATTTACTTATTTATTTGGTACAGGGCCTCGCTAAACGGCTCGGACTCATAGTGAGGCATGCGGTACCCGGGCTCGAACCTAGGTCCTTGCACTTGCCAGGCTGGTACTTAGACTACTGAGTTATCTCCCCAGCCCCTCCATTTGTTTTGATTGTGATTACTAGATATTATCTGCATTAACTAACATTGTAATAAATCTGTGACATGGCAGCTTTGCACCCTCTCATTCCCCCATATCTGTTAGAATTCTGAAAGGTGTTGTGGCCAGCCTTTTATGCTAAGTAGTCTCAGAGGGTTTTCAGTTAAATGAGACCTAAAAGATCATGCTAGCTGGGGTTTGCTTCACTACAATGTGAAAGGTTGAAATGGAGACAACAGTGGGCCTGACTACACAATAATACTGGAACTGAATAGGGACACGGGTATTGTTGTTTTATTTATTTTTTTTAATTCTTAATTTTTTATATATTTAGTACAGGGTCTACAGGGTGTCACTACACAAATTATACTCTTGTGATCCTCCTGTTTTCAGCCTCCCAAATGCTGGGATTACAGGTGCAACAGTTAGGTGCCACCACGACCAGTTTCAGGTCGCTGTCTCAGCTTGCCCTGTGGGCAGGGCCAGCACAGCATGCCAGGGATAGAACCCCAGTCCCTGCATCTGCCTAAGCAGGTGCTTTAACCCGTTGAGCTATATCTGGCCTACCCTATGTTTTCTTTCTTTTTATTTGAAATTTCTCATTTTTTAAAATAATGTACCATTCTTTCATGGTCAAAGAATGATGACTTTTTGTTTTTTGTTTGTTTTGGTGGAACCGGGCGTTGATTGATTGTCCTTGCGCTTACCAGGGAAGCATTTATTCTACTGAGTCATCTCCCCGGCCCTATGATGACTTTCATATTTTTACTTTTTAAAAAAATTTAATACAGGGTCTCATATTGTAGTTCAAGTTAGCCTTGAAGTCACTGTGTAGCCTAGGCTGGCTTCAAACTCCTGGTGATCCTGTGCCTCAGCCTCTCTAGTGCTGGAATTACAGGCATGTGCTAATAATTTTTGCATTATTATATAATCTTATTGAATGATTTGCTTTTTGCATTGATCTTAATGATTGAAATTCATAGCAGTTAAAGAAGAAATAAGATTAGTGAGAAATCTCCAACTACGTTAATTAATCAAATTGGTGTAATTGGAGATGTTCCACCTACAAGTCAGACCTGTCCCCATGTATCTATAAAGAAGAAGTAAAACGGGGTACAGTTACGATGAGGATTCCTGAGAGCTGATCCTTTAGGGGCTGAGAATGTGTAGGTGTGAAGTATAGAATAAGTGAAGTCCTCACCATTTAAATTAAACTTTAGGGGTGAAATTTGCCCATAGTCAAAGCCCACTGGGATACTGCTGTACCATCACATCCATCTAAATTTACACTGTTCTACACTGTTGTTCACCTGTTTCTTTCTACCTCAGTCTTATTTCTTCCTTTTACTCCTTATCTCTTCTTTTTCACCAAGACTGGAATTCATCTATCTTGATCTTTTCAGCTTAGTTTCCCTATATTGTATTCTTTCTGGCCTATGGTTCATTCCTTTTCTTTATTGCTACTTTTTAGTGAATGACCAACTGTAGTTTTACAAACGTGTTTGCATTATGGAAGTGGCTCAGGCTGAAGCATGCAGATGCATTCATGTATCCTTAAAAGATTTCAGGCAGTTGGCAAGTAAGAATTCTAAATAAAAATTGAAACTACCACCTGTATTTTTTCAGGCCGTTGATGCTCACTGCCATCAGCTGCATCCTCCCTATGGCACTGGTAAGTGTGGGAAGGGCTGGTGACAGTTGTGGTGGGCTGCTTGGATGTCTTTTCTTGGGGAAAAATCTGTTTGCAAGCTTTGTTGACTTGAGGACTGGACAGCTGAACCAGCTATAAGAAACACAGAAAGATGGAGCAGCAGATTGTGTTCCTGTATTTCCTTGGGGAATTGTCAGTAGCAGAAGCTATTCTATATGAGCCTTGATCCCTATATAGAATTTGTATGTTCTGTGCATTATTGTGACTGACTAACATACTGTCTAATTGCTCTGGGATGTTGAATAATAACTGGTAAATTTCCTGAAACTTAAAACACTTGTTCCAAAGGTAGATCTTGGTTCTGTGTTAGAAATGGTCCTGAATGACTGTTGTGTTTATAGTTTCTTTCAGTGGCAGGGTTTTTCTTTCTGTGGTATTTCAAGTTCTTTGTGGCAGGAAGCTCTAAGCTTGTTCCACCAACTAAAATTTTGGTTGAAGTTTATATATGATTTTTTAGAGATAGAGGTTTGGTGAAAATCAGAAAAAAAAATTATGGCTGTTGTGAGCTAGCGAGCTTTTAATATGGGCTTGAGATTTGAAAAATTATTTCTAGTATTTCTTGTTGTGGGTGGGGTACCAGGAATCATACTCAGGACCTTGTGCTTGCCAGCTGGCCACTATACTACTGAGCTATGTCCCCAGCCCCTAAAAAATGATTTTAACAGTTTGCTTTCTTCTTTGAGACTTTGTGGAGAAAGTAATCCACTAAATGTAGTTGAAACAAGTCCCAGAATTTTGAGAGTTTTGTTTCATTTCTTGGGGTTTTTTTTGTTGTGGTTGTTTGATTTTTATTTTTGTTTTTAAAACATGGTCTTGCTATGTAGTTCATTCTGTCCTTAACTCATTGTATAACCTTGGCTGGCTTTGTACATGTGATTCTCCTGCCTCAGCATCCTGAGTGCTGGGATTATAGGCATGTGCCAGGACACTTGACTCCAGATGTCTTTTTAGATTTGCTCCCTCCATAATGAAAAACCTAATGACTATCTCCTTGTAGTGAACGGGTCCACAAACAAATTTTTTCTTGCCAACATAGTTTCCATTTTAAGCAGCTTTTCATTTCTTTTGTCTCCAAAACCCGTGAAATCATAGAACAAAGTACCTCCAGAACATTGTAATTCTGTCACAGTTACTTTTATCTTGTTGCTGGGTCAAAATCGCCGATACCCAAAATTAAGGAAAAGCTTATTTAGCTCACAGTTAATGGAGCTTTCAGTCCATACTCCGCTGACTCCAAGGCAGCGTGGCACATGGAAGAGGACAGCTGTCATGGCAGTGGAAAACTGCAAAGAGCAAGGGGAGGAGCAACAAACCTCACTCCTTATATTGTACTCAGGCTATCAGCCCCTGGGCAGGTGTAGCACTCACACCCATAATCCCAGCATTGAATCATCAATTAATCACAAACTCTAGAAACCTGCCCCAGTGACTACATGAGGCTTTGGGGGTCACCTAGACACAAACCATAGCAAGAACATTATACAAAATCTAAGGTAATGAGTTTGTACTTTTTTTTTTTTTGTACATTGTTAATCAAGTCAGGAACAGTTTGTTGGTAATAGCAGCTAAAATATGTATGTATATACTTTATTACAGCTCTGTGAGAAAATTTGTGGGTAATGCAGAGCAGTGTGGGCAGTGTCAAGAGGTAACCCTACAGTCTTTAAAGCTAGAAGGAGAGCTCTTCATCAGCATCTGATATATTGTGGTGTAGGTTTTGAGTGCACAGAGGAAAAGGAAGGCAGATAGGCTGTGCTTGGCCTTTACTCTGATCTAATCTTTGCCCCTGTGGAAGCCTTCTGTGGGCCGTCCAGAGACTTGAGGGGCACCTTCATTCTTTAGTGAACTCCATACCAATGCTTGCTTGCTTTCCCAACTTGTAGTTACACAGCTTCTCAGTTCCTGGTACATGAGAGAGAGGAAGTTTTGGCTTGGAGGTTTTCATTAACACAGTAATTAAGGTTTATTATTTATTTTTGAGCCAGGCTCTTGCTGTGTAGTTCAGGCTGGCCTCGAGCTCACTATGTAGCTCAGTCTGTCCTCAAACACAATGGCAGTTGTCCTGTCTCAGCCTCTGGAGTGTTGGGATTACAGATATGTGCCACCATGCCTGACATTGACTACGGTTTAGGCATGAGTGTGCATGCTCAAAGAGATAGTCCAGAAGTGAGAATATAAGAGCTGTGCCTTGTAGAACAGTGGCATTTAGGGTATTGGCAAATTGGGAGCAGAGCATCCAGTGGGACAGTGAGAAGGTGTGATCTCAGAGATTGCGAGCCAGAGAGAACAGCTGCATATTGAAATGATAGGACTTTATTCAAGAATTCACAATTTGTGTAATCACTTAACCTTCAGCAGGAACTATGTTTAACTCTTAAAAGAACAATTTTCATTTTGAGGATTTTAATTCAAAAAGAAAGCTAGAATGTACAAAAATTTTAAGGAATTGTACAGTGAGCATTCATATTCTTATCTAGATTGTATACACTTGCCTTTCACTTTGCTTCATTGTTTACCTGAAATCTGCCAATCAGATTTATTAAAATATTGTTTTATGCTGTTAAATTCATCTATTGTATTTTACTTACTTTTCAGCAGGGGTGCACTTTTATTTGAAGAATTCCAGATCGATGAATAGTTTGATTTTTAAAAAAATTTTTGGCTGTTAGTATTGCAAGTAACACTGATATACTTTCATATATCTGTGCATAGTAGTGCAAGTGTTCTTGCAGGAACAAATTATACAAGAGGAATTGCTGGGTTAATTCTTTTACTTTTTCAATTCAAAAAATAGTAGCAGTGCCAATAATCTGATATTTCTTATTACTTCAGGTTTTGGCACTTGAGAAAAATCAGTGTACACAGTTATGGAGGGGGACTTCTCATTTCATATGGTATGAAAAGCCCCTAAAGTCTTCAATGTGGCCGCTCCTTTCCTTCTCTCTCTCTCTCTCTCTCTCTCTCTCTCTCTCTCTCTCTCTCTCTCGTTTGTTCTTTGAGACAAGTTCTCACTGTGTAATTCATGTTAATCTTGAACTCACTGGATTTTTTTGGGGGGGAGCACTCAGGATGCCTTCAGGGCAGGTCTGACTTGAGGATGAGGGAATCAAACCAAAGCATCCTGAGCCTGACTGCTTTGTTTCAGCAGGCACTTAAACACCTGAGCTAATAGGCAGGCCCCCTTGAACTCACTATTTAGCCCATCCTGGCCTTGAATTTGCACTGATTCTTTGGGATTACAATACTGAGCCCTTATGCCTGGCTTCATTACTCACATCTTTCCTTTTCTGCTCAAAAGCCTGGATTTCCCAGGAATAAAACTCAAGTCTTTAGTATTCTGTGTTCCCTGTGTAGTAGAGTAATGGTGCTTTTGTGTGTGTGTGTGTGTGTGTGTGTGTGTGTGTGTGTGTGTGTGTGTGTGTTTTAGGGGAGAGTCTACAGGGTGTTCAGGGTCTCACTACTAGATGGGACTCTTGTGATCCGCCTGTTTAACAGCCTCCCAGGAGCTGGTATTACAGGCACAGGCAACCATGCCCAGTCTCAATCACCATCTCAGTGCGCCCTGACGGCAGGGCCAGCATGGCAGGCCCAAGGATCAAACCCCTGGCCCCTGCGACTGCTTGCAGGCACTTTAATCCTCTGAGCTATTTTGGCTGGCCCTTATCCCCCCCACCCCCCCAAACCAGGGATTGAACTCAGGCCCTTGCACTTGCCAGGGAAGCGCTTATTCTACTGAGCCATCTCACTGGGTCTCCCCGCCCCCCTTTTTTTGAGACAGGATCTCACTATGTAGTTTAGTCCAGGCTGGCCTTGAACTCACTATGTAGTCTAGGCAGGAGGTTACAGGCATCTGCCACCATGCCTGGCTTTGTTCTTATGTTTTGTTTTTTTTTAATGATTTTAAGGGACTAGATTAATTTCCTTTTCTAGACATGAGGCATCTTTGAACTCTTAAGTTCTTTTTAAATGCAGACATTCTCAATTTTATAATCAAAGTAGTTTTAAACTAAATTTGATAGTTATTTTATTAATCACCTTTACTGTCACTGGAGCAAAATACCCAACAACCATAACTCAGGAGGAAAATTTTAACCTGATGGTAGTTTTAGAGGATTCAGTGCATGGCAACTGGCCCCACTACAGACAGACAGCACAATGGAAGGGCATAGCAGAAGAAAGCTCATATACTATTTTAAGGTGTACCATTCTGTGTCTTAGTAAATTTATACACATCTGTGCAGCCATCACCACAGTTGCAGTTTAGGAACATTTCCATCACCCAGAATGTTCCCATGTGTCTACTGACAGCCAGTCTCCACTCTGTGCCTGAAGTAACTATTGATTTTTTTGTCTCTAGATCAGTGGTGGTGAAGCTTTTGGAGCTTTCTGTGATAACAAACAGCCTGCTTCACCACCACTGTTTTGTTTTGTTTTGCCTTTTGTAGAAATTTTGTAAAAATACAGTCTTTGGTTATCTGGTTGTTTTTCTTTAATATTTTAAAGGCTCATTTATGATATACCACACATCAATACGATGTTCCTTCTTATTGCTGAGTGATGATTTTTTCATGTATGAGTACACTACATTTTATTCCTACTTTCATTCGTCCAGCTGATATTTGAGTTGCTTTCAGCTTTTGACTGTCATGCAGTATATTGCAATGACCACTCATACCCAGGGCTTAATGTGGATGGTTTCATTTCTTTTGTGTAAATATGTAGAAGAATTGCTGGATCACCTGGTAAGTGTGTTTTAACATTTTAAGAAGCTGCCGGGGCTGGTAAGATGGCTCAGTGGTCTAAAGCACCTACTTAGAACAAGCTTAGCAAAGCACAGGGACCGCGGTTCAATCCCCAGTACCACATGCCAGCCAGCCTCGCCCCCTGGTGGGCTGCGCTGGCCACACACACACACACACACACACACACATAAAAAAAAAATTAAAAAAAAAAAAAAAGCT